CCCCCCCCCACGGCCTCCCCCGGCTTGGGACCCTCGGCCCCTCTTCTGGGGGTCCCCCGGGACGGCCCCGGCCCCGGCGGCACGTGCTCGGTGTCCCCCCCTCACCCCCCCAAACGGCCCGTGACGTCACGGGCGGGGCCGGACCGGGAGAGCCCGGACCAGGTACGGACCGAGCGGGGGAGCCCCGAGGGGTCGGACCGGGGGGTCCCGGGGCGTTACCGGGCTGAGCCGGGGCGCTGCGGGGCCGTACTGGGCTGTACTGGGCTGTACTGGGCTGTTTCGGGCACTACCGGGATGGACCGGGGCGGGACCGGGCGGGACCGGCGCGTTACCGGCTCTAACGGGCTCTAACGGGCTCTAACGGGCCGGACCGGGCGCACACGGGGCACTACCGCGCTCCACCGGGCGGTACCGGGGCAGTACCGGCCGAACCGGGCCGTCCTGGGGCTGTTCCGGCCACTACCGGGGCTCTACCGGGCGATGCCCGCGTGGGACCGGCCACTACCGGGATGCACCGGGGCCCTCCCGGGAGCCACCGGGATGCACCGGGGCCGTCCCGAGCGCTACCGGGGCAGTACCGCGTCCTACCGGGCGGTACTGGGGGAGCCCCGGCCCGTCCTGGTCCGTACCGGGGCCGTCCCGGGCCGCACCGGGCGGTGCCAAGGCCATACTGGGCGGTACTGGGGACCCCCGGGAGACCCCCGGGCCGGGCCGGGGTCCGTTCCCTGCTCCCCCCGGGGCCCCCCCGGGGGTCGGGCGGGTCCCGTCGGGCACCGCCCGCGAGGGTCAAAGCTCGGCCGGGGCCGCACACGTGTGTTCAGGCGTGTTGGGGTGTGTTCGGGGGCGAGGCCGTGCACGGGCAGGGGCTGCTCGGTCACCCCCGAGGGCCCCCCTGTTCCACCCCCCATCACGGACCCGCGTGTGACCCCGCGCAGATCCCATGTGATCCCGTGCAAATCCCATGTGATCCTGTGCTGATCCCATATGGAACCCATGCAGATCCTGTGTGATCCTGTGCTGGTCCCGTGTGGTCCCGTGCAGATCCCATGTGATCCTGTGTGGTCCCGTGCGGATCTCATGTGATCCTGTGTGGTCCTTTGTGATCCCATTTGATCCCATGTGATCCCGTGTGATCCCGTGCAGATCCCGCGCGGATCCCGTGCCGCAGCCATGGAGGAGCCCCAGCCCTGGGCCTCCCTGAGCCCCTCGGACTTTGCGCAGCTGCAGAAGTACCTGGACTGTGAGTGGGGCCCTGCACACGCGTGTGGGCACACGTGGGAGGGGGGCTGCACACGTGTGGGAGGTCTGCACACGCGTGCACACACAGCCTCACACGTGTGTGTGGCCTCTCCTGTGTGCCAGCACACGCGTGTTCCTGTGTGAAAACGTGTCAGGGCACACGCGTGTGGTCTTTCCCATGTCAGGGCACACGTGTGCCCAGCATGCACATGTCAAAGCACACACACACATGTCAGAGCACACACACACATGTCAGAGCACACGCGTGTCCCTGCCCTCAGACAGCAGCCGGAGGGTGCAGGACGTGCTGCAGGATTTCGGCACTGAGGGGGCCCTGGCTCAGCCCCATCAGGGCAAGGTGAGACCCAGGGGACCCCCGTGGGGTGTGGGGGGGTCGGGGGGTTGCCCTGCAGCCCCCCCAACCCGGCTGTGCCCCCCCAGAGCCTCGACCTGGAGGGGTTCTCGCAGTTCCTGCGGAGGTACCTGGAGAGTGACGATGTCCCGGAGCCGCTTTGCCGGCGCCTCTTCGCCTCCTTCCAGAGCCAGGATGGTGAGGGGGGGCTCAGGGGGGCTCGGGGGGGCAGGGAGGGGTCCCGGGAGGGTTTTGGGGTCCCTGGGGGGCTCACGGGGTCCGTCCCCACAGGCAGCGACTGCGTCTCCCTGAGCGACGTCTCCTGCTACTTCTCCCTGCTGGAGGGGGGACGCCCCGAGGACAAGCTGGAATGTGAGTGGGGGGGTCCCGGGGGGGCCCCAAGGACAGGGCAGCCCAGATTTGGGGTCACCTCACCTGCTGTCTCCCCACAGTCTCCTTCAAGCTGTATGACAAGGACGGGAACGGGGTCCTGGACAGCTCGGTGAGCGCTGGGGGGGCTGTAGGGGAACTGAGGGGTGGGAGGGCTGTGGGGATTGGGATGCTGTCGAGGGGCTGTGGGAACTGGGGGGGCTGTGAGGGGGGTCTGTGGGTGTCGGGGGGCTGTGGGACCCCCCCCAGCTGTCATTCCCCCCCCAGGAGGTGGATCGGATCATCACCCAGATGATGAGGGTGGCCCAGTACCTGGACTGGGATGTGACGGAGCTGAAGCCGGTGAGTGGGGCCGGGGGGGGCTGTTGGATTTGGGGGGCCGGGGGGGGCTCTCTGGGTTTGGGGGGCCCGGAGGGGGCTGTGTGTGTTCGGGGGGACACACCCCACCCCCCTGCCCCTCCCCTGAGCGCCGTGTCCCCCCCAGATCCTGCAGGAGATGATGCGGGAGATCGACTACGACGGCAGCGGGACGGTGTCCCTGGGCGAGTGGC